TGGTTAAGCATTTGGCTGCTAACTGAAAGGTCAGCGGTTGGAACCCACCCAGTAGTTCCGAGGGAGAAAAGACCAGTGATCTGCTCCCATAAACATCACAGCCTAGGAAACCCTATGCGGCAGTTCTACTCTGTCCTATAGGGTCACCATGAGTTGGAATCGACTTGCTGGCATACAACTACAACATACCAAGATGATATTTAATGATTTATTAAGAACCCACTGCATTCGGAAGAAAGGCCTGGTAATCTACCTCTGAAAAATCAGCCACTGAAAACCTTATGGAGCACAGTTCTACTCTGACACACAGGAGTCGGAGTCAACTTGACTACACAGTTGTTTTTTTACTGGTGTTCATACTGGAAGCAAGAACAGCTTGATTGTCATGAGTGATAAGAGGTGTGTGAACCAATTTAGGAACCTGTGAAAAAAGACATTGCCTCTCTTGTTGACCTCAACTTTGGCAAGGCTGTGGTCCGTCATCAAACCCAAGAGTAATGAAGCCCCTGCCTCTGTCCAGGCCAGGAAAAAAGTGAGGACAGGCCCCACAGTGTCTTCACTGCAGGCCTCTCTCTCACTTCTTGTCTCCATCCCCCAGCATGACCAGAACCTGACCAAACACAGGAAGACGACTATATACTCGAAGAATTCAATAAATAACACATACAGCCTTGGCCCGGGATTGCCGCAGAAGGTAAATAAAATGTTCATGACTTTTTAAAAAATCATCTCCGAGTCTTTGATTCTTTTCAGGCTAAGTGCTTTTCTACAATCGCATTAGATACATACAGTAAGTATTTCCTTCTTCTTGAAAATTAAAATATATTCAGACTGACGAGTTCAGGGCTTTTTTTTTCAGTAAGATTCTTCCCCTGTATAAGTCAAATAAAAAGAAATGTGGAGAAAAAGAAAAAAGAACCCACTGCAACCTTCAACAAGTGAATGGTTGAAGAAACTGTGGCACCTCCATACAGTGGTATACTTGTTATAAAAAATCAGTTGCCCTCAGTTCTGACTCTTGGGGAGCCCATGTGTGTCAGAGTAGAACTGTGCTCTATAGGGTTTTTAATGGCTGGTTTTTTGGAGGTAGATTGCCAGGCCTTTCTTCCGAGGCACCTAAAGGTTTCCTAGGATGTAAATCTTTACAGGAGCAGATCACCCGGTTTTTCTCCCATGGAACCACTGGTGGGTTCAAACTGTTGACCTTTCTACTCAGCGATAAAAAAGAATAAACCGTGGATACATGCCACAGCATAAATGAATCTCAAATGCACTATGCTAATTGAAAGAAGCCAACCTCAAAAGATTACACGCTATATGATTCTATTTATATGACATTCAGGGAAAGCCTAAACTACAGGGAGGAAAAACAAGTCAGTGGTTGCCAGGGGTCAGTGGTGGACAGCGGGCTTAACTACAAAGGGCAGCACAAGGGAGTTTTTTTTGGGTAGCGGAAAGATTCTGTATCCTGACCGGAGCAGGTTACACGAATCTGTTATGTGTTAAAACTGTACACCAAAACAAGTGAATTTTACTCTATAAATTATATTCAAAAAGAACTTACTGCATACACAGCAGAAGCTCTTCGGGTCCTTGGGATACCTTCTTTCCCTTTATCAGTTTATCATTGTGGGAAGGAAACACACAAATAAGTGGTTGTGGAGTATGAGTAGGAAAGTGAGGGAACACTGCTATACCATATGGTCTACGGTAAGTACTTTATAAAAACCCAAACCAAAAAAGAAAAAAAAAACACCAGACCTGTTGTTCTCGAGTTGATTCCCACTCATAGTGAGCCTATAGGACAGAGTAGAACTGCCCAGTAGGATTTCCAAGGAGCAGCTGGTGGATTTGAACTGCCGACCTTTTGGGTAGCAGCCAAGCTCTTAACCACCGTGCCACCAGGGCTCCTATAAAAACGCCGTTGCCTTCAGTTCTGACTCCTGCAGACCCATGTGTGTCAGAGTAGAACTGTGCTCTACAGGGTTCTCAAAGGCTGATTTTTCGGAGGTAGATTGCCAGGCTTTTCTTCTGAGGTGCCTCTGGGTGGGCGTGAACCTCCAACCTTTCTGCTTTAGCAGTTTGTAACAGCTGAGCCTGTTAAACCTTTGCACTACCCAGGGACTCCAAGTACATTATATCTGGTGCTAAATTTAGCATGTTAGAAAACGGCAAACGATTTTGTAGAAAATTCCTTTATTATAGTGCAAATAACTTTGAGCAGTGACATAATAATGTAAGAACACGTTTAGCAACATTTTACACCACGCAGTAAAGAAGAAAGTGTTTCTCTGAAAATATGTCATAGGAACGTTATTTTTACGTTAATGCTGAAAAACGTCAAGGCTGTTTCTCTCAAGGCAACAGGTCTCCCTCCCTCTTTTTGGATATATCTTTAAAAAATAAAAATGAAAAGGATTTGTCATTTTAACAAATCGTTGTCAATTCTAAGAGTGATCTCTTAAGGGGGTTTGAACCGAGGTTGGCAAGATTTGAAATAGGGTTTCAAAATTTAAAAAAGAATAATTTTAAGACAATTCTGGGATAGCCCAGAAAGCAGAAGTCACTTATATTAACTTGAAAACAGATATACACATTCACTCCAATTTTACTGCAGAAATGGACAGATTGTCTAAAGCCGGCCTGTTTCCCCCCCAGAGCCTGATTGTTATTTATACGGTTTTGGTCCTATTGCAAAACTAGGGCTCTGGTCAGAAATAACTCTTTATGTACCCAAATGCTTTCCTGTGAAGCCTTAAATTGCACTTTCCATTCTGAAATTCCCACCTTCGACCTCACATGCTGTTGAAGATGTGAAAACTGCTTCCAGTTTACAGCTAACAATTAGTGCAGCTGGGTAAGCCCTCCACTAATTTAGCTATCTCGGAATCAAACCATCACATCATTTAGATTCATCCCAACTGGCTCATCCAAGAGGTCCCCAGTGACCTCAAAGAAATGAAGGGGTTAACACTGTATCTTCAAGCTAAGCTGCCTAAGGGCTTGCCTGCTAATGAGTTAGCTGATAGGTAGAAAGAACAGAGTGTCAGTTCTGATCAGACTCCCCGGCTCCTCCAGTTTCCGCTGAATTATGCAGTGGGTGGGAATGGTTGGCCATTCAAAGGAGACCTCGGATGGGGGTCCTTCCACCGTAAGTAGAATCCAAACCCCTACCAATATATTCTCAGGGTGCCCTCTACGTCGCTCGACAAACACTCTTAAAATTTTAGCGCCTTTTCAAGCCCAGGAGACGTTAATCACACGCTTGAAAATACCTGGAGCCACAGAGCAGCCTTCTTGGCTGAATATGGCTGATTAAGTCAGCTGGTACATAAAGCTTTTCAACGCACAGGAGGTCTGGTTGGATCAAGTAGCTTATATAATGCAATGGAACTGTGTGCTAAACAGTTGCAAAGCTGAGAAGAATCCCAACATTATCACCTATAAAAAATTTAAATTTTAAGTTCGCTTTGTTTTTCTTAGACTTTGGTAATGAAACACTGTCTACATTCTTGACACAAGAAAATGACGTGGCCACTTCGGTGCCTCTGCATGTCGTGTAAAAAACTCAAAAGCAAAGCAGGACAAGAACAAGACGCAGAATGCTGCACAAACAAAGCCTAAATTATATATAAATACACCCCCACCCCAGCACCCCTTGCTTCCCCCACGACCTGACCAAAGCAATGCCGAGGGTCCTTCTTTTCAGGGCAAATGCAGTTGGTGAAGTCCAGCACCCAGGACTCCCAGCGTCCCTTGCCTTGCAGTGATACTTACAGTTCTGCAGGCTCGCACTGGAGATGGACGCTCTACTGTTTGACCAGTTCCACAAGTCGGGAAACTCCTACAGTGTGATTTGAAGCATCCACACTTCTGGCTGCACTCAAAGACCTGGAGTCCTAGGCATTAACCTTTCAGATAAACTAAGTGGATCGTTCCCTAATCTGGATCTTGTCTTATCCTAATATTTCAGCAGAGTCAACACAGCAGGAAGCGTCCTCTACTCTGAAGCTCCAAAGGCATTGCTTAGGAATACTGGTGAGGGTCACGTAAGAAAAGTTATACAATGAGCTGACAGCTTAAGTTGATAATAAATTATTTCTAAGTAAGTTATCTGGGCCATTTGCTTCTGCTTTACACTGCATTCCAGAACGATTTTCATATACTTTGAAAGTTTACACACTAGCCATTTAAAAAATTGTCTATGCAATCCCCTTACGTGTTTTCAATTAATTTAGTAACAACTTAATGAGCTATTATGTAAATCTAGGGGAAAGTAGTTAATTAACCTTAAGAAAGCCAATACTGTGCTAATTCACAGTAAGGAGAAAAAGCAATGTAAAGAGAAGTTTACATAATATTCAATAGCTTGAAAAGCAGTTTTATCTACACGTTGCAAGGTTTCCCCAAAAGCACTCATAGCAATTTATATCAAGAAATCCTAAGTTTAGGGGCACAGAGGATATGATTCAATTTTTTAAGGTAGACATTCACCTGTTTCATGATTGTAATATATAATTTTTCCCCACAGACCTAAGATATTTGTACATTCAAAAGTTTGTAACTTGCTGCTCTTAATGTTCAGACATTGCTCATTCTCTACTACATACACTGAGTATAAATAAATAACTACAAGGAAGCTTTAAAAATCTGAATTAACATTATGCTGTGCCAAAAAAAAAAAAAAATAACACCAACAACCTACATTCTATGTAAATACCCTGACTAAAATGTTGGTTGTGCTACGTGATTCCATTTCAGTGCAGACACGATAGTTGATTTCGGTGTACCGCTTTTGTTTTTAAGTCTTTAGCACTTTTGTTTCTAAGTATCATCTTGCTTTGAAAAGATGAATACATTGCTACCAAATCACGAATCATCATAAATCCATTTTAGCTTAGTCTGAATAAAATCCAGCATAAATGTGTGTGTGTTGTTTTGTTTTGTTCTGGGAATAATGGCTCGGTGTCTTTGTCCCACAAGCTGTCTTCCTAAGGGCAGACCACGGTAGACGTTGTCATTTTGGGTTTAAACTACACAGAAAGAAGAGACCATGAAGCTTGTCTTTTGTTTTTCGTTGTCTTTTTAAGTCTCCAGCTCTTGTAGGACAGTTCTCCCAGAGCGACAGTCAGATAGTTGTGGCACCTGATCCTATTTGAAACAGAGGTGGTTGAAACAACATCAGCCAAGCTTAGTGATCTGGAGGTCCCCGTTTATCTTTATGGTGTCGATGGCAGATAATGTTTGAATGCGGTGGTAAAAATCAAAAAGTTGGTGTCCATCCACAAATACTCTGAACCGTGGGTGCTCACAAAGAATTTCCACCTGTCAGAAACAAAATAAAAATCTCAGTTCACAATTTTAATGCACTGTGCTTAAAAAAATAAAACACAATTCATTTTAGAGGGAGAAAGGCAGCATCTTCACCAGTGGTTCCCAAACATTAGGGTGCAAGAGAATTACATGGAGGCTTGTTCAAACAGCCTCCTGGGCCTCACCACTAAAACTTCCAATTCAGGAGGTCTAGGGTGTAGTCTAGGGAGCCCTGGTGGCACCGTGGTTAAGTGCTCAGTGGTTTGGAAGGTTGATGGTTCAAACCCACCAGCTGCTCCACGGGAGAAGGATGTGGCAGTCTGCTTCTGTGAAGATCACCGCCTTGGAAACCCTATGGTACAGTTCTACTCTGTCCTATAGGGTCACTATGAGTCAGACTTGACTCCATGGCAACGGAAGGTGTGGTCTAAGAAGGTGCACTGCCACCACGTTCCAAGGTAATGCTGATCCTGCTGTTAGGGTGGGAACAGACTTTGAGAACTACTAGTCTACATTATTCTCTATCCTTTAAAGACTTAAAACAGTTTATGCTTTAACCACCTCTCCCTTCTTGACACTCTCCAGAAAGTGATGCAAAGTAGCCTAGATTTACTCACATGGCACTTAACATCCCCTGAACACTTCCATCCCACTTTCCGAGAAGCACCTCATGAAGCCAAACTGGCAGCCGTCTGCGGTATGTAATAATAGTCTAGGCACTCAAGTGTGGTGAACACGGACACAGAGGGGTCGCACGGTAATCGCTATGGGACCAAAGATGCGTCATTAACAAGGCTTTGTTAAGCCAAACAGAAATACTGATTTCATATGGTAAAGACCTCTTCCTTACGTAACTGGCCATAGAGCTTAATGATTAGTTTTGCGGTATGTATGTATTAAAAGCATTGACATCTACCACGTAAGAAGAAGCTACACATGTGACATCAGTCACTTTTAATTCATATTATTACTAAAATCATATCACCAAGAAGGGCCTAGTCCACTTTGTTGTTGGACAGCATTTCCGTTCATCTCAGCAGTCAGAAGCACTGGTTACTCACACTCACGAACTACGCATTAAACTTCACCATTAAGAAACTGTCACAGCCAAGAGGAATCTGAGGGGACATTACCATTCCAAAGAAGGGGGGCTGATGGGTCTGAGGTATCTTCTCCAGACTATTACTGAAAACAGATAACCAAACAGGTTGCCGTTGAGTCGATTCCAACTCATAGCAACCCTATAGGACAGAGCAGAACTGCCCACAGGGTTTCCAAGGAGTGGCTGGTGGATTCCAACTGCTGACCTTTTGGTTAGCAGCTGAACTCTTAACCACTAAGTCAGCCACCTATGATTAGAAGGGCAAAAATCCCAACTCTGTCACTGATGTGATTATGTAATCCTGGGCCACTCATGGATTCTTCCCCACCCCCTAGATTGTATGATGGGAAGAGAAATAATTATTCCTTCATAAAGCCCTTGTAAATTTTTAGATGAAGAGCAACAGGTTAAGTGTAATTCTACTTTATGAGGCTTATATATGGCACAGAACTCTTAACTGAGTTGAGCTGTCATTACTGGGATGTATGTTAAAAGATGTAACGAAGACAACTTCATCAGCTCCTGCATCCAGTAAACCCTTTCCAAACACATTACTAACTGGCATCTCTTTCTTGGCATTGTCCCTCATAGAGGAAGATTCTGTTAATATGCCGGGTTGGATGGGAAGTTTAAATTGTGCTTCCTGCCCCACTAGATAGTGAGGAACAAATCTAAACTCACCCAGGCCCAAGGGAAGGAAGTTGTCAGCTGTACAGCCTGTGACCATGAAATGGACTTCAGGCCAGTTAACCCAGAGGGGAAAACAACCATATGGCCACAGCCTCATTAGCAAAGGGAATAAAGAAAATGAAATGAGAATCACTATATTCTTTAAAAAAACAAACCTGTTGCTGTCGAGTCAATTCCGACTCATACTGACCTTACAGGACAGAGTAGAACTGCCCCATAGGGTTTCCAAGGAGTGGCTGGTGGACTTGAACTGCTGACCTTTTGATTAGCAGCCATAGTTCTTGACCACTGTGTCTTTAAAAGTCATAACTAATAAAGTTCAATGCTACTTAAAGGCTGAGAAAAAATAAAGAAAATTCTGGATAACGATTAATATTTACTAACCAATCAGACATTTGGGGCCAGGTATCTACTATATAGGCTCCTGGGTGGCGCAAACAGTCTGCAATCCACCTAGCAGCGCTGTGGAAGAAAGGCCTGGCAATCTGCTTCCATAAAGGTTATAGCCAAGAAAACCCGATGGAGCAGCTTTACTCTTTTAACACGTGGGGTCACCATGACTCAGAATCTACTTGATGGCAACGGGTTTGGTTTTCTAGTTATATCTACTATATGCCTAGTACTGTGTTGGGTACTACATAGAAAAGTGTTTATTCTTAACAATCTGGACATGTAAATAGGGGTCCATTTACTAAATGTGTTGGATAAACAGAGCCAAGAGCTACTATGGTATTCGTTTATATCAGCAAACAGAGCTCTTATAATCTTTTTTTTTTCCTTCTTTCACCACTGTGTGACAAATTTCCAGGACATGCAGAAATTCTGGCTGCTTAAAGCATTCTTGGCACACGTTAAGTAAGTAGAACATCATCACCCTGCCAGCGTTTGGGGCTGGAGCACTTGAGGTACTCACCCTGAATGGCTGGTCTGGGATGAATGGAAAGTAAGGGATTGCTGACTGTTCTTCCCCCCTTTCCCCAGATATACAAGAATTTCTGAGTAGCTGCCGGTCTGTAAACACAGCCTTTAGTTCAATTGCCACATCGGCAGGAGGATCTTCAGAGTCACCACAGGTCAAGCTGATTGCAAAACTGAAAAGAAAATAACCTCGTTTACTCAGGGTTAGATATAACATTTTAAATGACTCAGTTTCTCCTATCTTCTTCTCTGGGTCTTGCTGCTTTTAACAGGCTGCTACTCCCTTTACTGGAGGTTAGGCTAAGGAGAAGTAAGATTACACTCACATCAGTTTATTGTTACCTAAAGAAGGTTCCGGTAAAAACTTTGGTGGAGTTGAAAATGACTAAATTTATGGATTTCAAATACCCTAAACCACCCGCGTATCTGGGTCTTAGTCCATTTCCGAATTTTCAAAATCAGCCCCAGATATTAACCCGGGGAATAATATCTTGTAAAGTATGGTTCTGAACAGGTAAATATGTTAATTATATTGGTAGTTTTAGCTTCAAGCATCATGTTTAAAAAAACCATTAAAAAAAAAAATCCTTTGGCCTCCCTAAGGGTCAAAGAGAAAATGCTGGCCTATATTTATAATCTCGGATATAAATAGTTGTCTGGAGAAACGATGGCTGGGACTCATACGCATTCTTTTCATGGGAACATGGTACTTTCTTGGCACTTCCAACCAGCAACGGTGTCCACAAGGAGAGGAAGAGGAGGCGCACAAGGCCACAACCCGGAGTGGGCAGGGCTGGCAACTACCTGATAGTTCTGCCCTGACAAGGATCTGCCTTACCTCTCTGGGTTGAGGTCTACGATGCCCATCACTAACACCTTCTTGCCTGGTCTCATGCCACCTTTAATGTGCCCACAAAATGGAACTATCTGCAAAGGATGAGAGGAGAGACAGGAAGTTTAACAGCCGGCTAAGGAAGAGCCAAGCCCTCAGAGCCTGAAGGCCTCACGTATCAGAAAATACAAAGAAAAGAAAGGAAGAGGGTATAGACAGACAGCACAGAACAAAACCATTTACCAGTCGTGGGAAGTACACGTCCGCTTGAACCGGAGAGCCCAAGGAGTTGTTTAAATGCCCATCGTCTAGTTTCTAAAAATAGAAGCACACGGATTCGCTTTCATAGGCTCTTTTTCAGGGGGTGGGGAAGAACCTACACAACAAATCTGGAGGAATCCAGCAGCCCTCCACAGGCACACAGCCTACCTTGGTGATGCCGCCTCCTCACAGTCAATTAAATAACCGCAGAACCTCCCCCCTAGAACAAAAGCTGTTCTTTCCCCGGTCTCTAAGTCTCTGAAGGTCCCCAGACTCTCCAGATGCAGACAAAAATCAAGGTCCAGGCCCAGCTGGGAGCCACAGTCCCGCGCCGGAGGAGGGCAGGCCCCTCTCCAAGCACAAACGCTACTGGAACCGCTGTCGCCCGGGCCTGTTCTCTGGGACGTGGCTGGAGTGGAGGTGTCGCGCTCAACTTCTCTCGGGAGCGTCCGGCGCAGACCCATTTCCAAGGGGGAATCCCTGGGACGTCGGGGGCGGACGCGGGGCGCGCGCCCCGGACACTCACACAGGCGCACACTCACACGTGCAGCGCGCACACACCTCGCCGGCGGCTGCAGGGCACGGAGGGGCTGTCGGTCACCCGCATCTCCGCCGTCGGCCCCCAAACACCCCAGCCCCAGCAGCCCTCTGGGCACTGGGACCCCCTCCCGCCCCCACACCCGCTGCGCACAGCAGCTGCGCTAACAGGTACCGGGGACGCCTTCCCACGCGGGGGGCGCCGGGCCCGGCCTGCAGCCTCCTTTCCACCCCAACCTGGCGGCAGCAGGCGGCGGCACGCGGGACCGCGGGGAGGGGGCGCCTCGCGTGTGCCCCGCCACACTCACCACTACTGCATCACTGTCGGTCACCGATCCCGCCATGTTCTTGCAGAACGCGGCGGGCTGCTCGGCGGGCGGCCCGGCGGCAGGGGACGCGGGACGCAGCGCGCGGGCGGGAATCCCGGGCGGTCCTACGCGGGGCGGGGGCGCGGGTCCGAGGCTGTCTGGAGCGCGCGCACACGCGGGCACGCGCGCGCGCACTCCCGGAGGCCGGCGTCGACCCGGCAGGCTGGGCCGGGGAGGAGGGGGAGGGGCGGGGGAGGCGGCGCGGGCCCGAGGTCGAAGGTGGCCGCTGCCGCTGGGACCGCAGCTACCGAGGCGGGCTGGCGCTGCTGCTGCGGCTGCTGCAGGAGGAAGAAAGGTGGCGAGGGCCGTGCCGCGCTGGCCCTAGGCGGCATTTAAAGGCCGCCGGAGACCGGCTGGGGAACCGGGAACAGGGCGGGGACCCGGCGGGGCTGCTGCGGCTTGCTCAGCTTGCCCTGCCCCTTGGCCATTGGACGGTGGCTGGAGGCCGGGGCGGAGGGACTGGCCTGTTCGGGTCGGGGGTGCGGGAGGGCGGGGCCCAGTCGGCGCTTGCGGGCGGTGCGGTGGGTGGGGCTGGGGGCTGGGGAAGTGAGAGCCAGACCGACCAGGTGACAGGTGCCTGTGACAGCACCCCCGCCCCCACCCCCAGCCTCCTATTAACCTCCTTCTTTCCCTAGCCAAGTCCTGGGGGCAGGTGGGACGGTGGGAGGCCGAAGTCGAGGGAAGATTGTGGGAGTGGGGGGAGGGAGGGAGTTGGTTTGTGAAGCGTGAGACCCGGTCTGATTTCTTTCAGAGAATTCCTGCAAAGTGAGAGGAAAGACTTATTGGGCTCTCCAGGACTGAAAGACAATGAAAGGTCTCAGGGCATCCAGAAATAAACGTTTGATTCAAAGAAAGAGGCAGAGAGGACTCAGGGTGGGAATCTGTCCCAGGAGGCTAGATACAGAACAGGCCTCTTTTCCTTCTAGAAGGATGGGTAGATCTCAGGGTCCCTGAAGACTCTCTTGGGCAGGGGTCTAGCTAAGTCGTCGCAAATTAAACTGGACACAGTGACTGTCCTCAGCCTCTTTTTTTTACAAGTCACCTGCCCAAGGTAGGGTAGTAAATTTCTCACTGAAACACTCCCGATTTCCTTTCTGGAATAATTCCCAAGGGGTACGCCCCTCTTTTATTCCAAAACACAAATTCCTTTATGGCATTTCCACACTAGGATGATTAAGTATCGTCTCAGATAAAGCCATATTACCATACCCTCCATTAGGTGACATCCTTGGCTTCAACATTCCATTGGGTGAATCACCAGGGTGTTCTACGCTAATAAGCAGGGAGCCTGTGTGACCTACTGTAATCCCAAGAGGCCCTCAGAGGCTCCCTTCCAGGCGCTGCTACTGGCTGTGTGGCCTGAAACATCACTGTGGCTTTTGTGTCTTAGTTTTCCCTTTATGGACCGGAGCTAATCATGGTAATCTTAGTCGTGTGGGGAGAATTACCTGCACACGCCTGTAAGCCCCAGTCATATCCTTTGTCGAGGTCGTTCCCTGAATTGGAGATTGACGTGCAGCACAGTTGTGGCTCCAGTTTACCAGAACCACACCTTAGTGATTCTTTTAAAATGTTAGGCAGTTATAGGAAACTTAGAATTTTGAAGGCACACTTCAGTATATCTCAGTTTCTGAGTCTGATATAGGGGAAAAGCATTTCTAGCTATATACCCAGTAGAGTTAAAAGCAGGAATGTAAACAGGTATTTGTACACCAGTGTTCACTGCAGCACTATTCACAATAGCCAAAATGTGGAAACAGCCTAAATGTCTGTCAACAGCTGAACAGACAGACAACATGTGATATCTTCATACAAGGGAATATTTCTCAGCCACAAAGAGAAATGAAGTCCTGATAACATGCTACAACATGGATGAATCTTGAAAGCATTGTGCTGAGTGAAATAAGTCAGTCGTGAAAGGACGAATGTTGTATGATCTCACTTATATGGAATATCTAGAATAGGCAAGTGCATAGAGACCAAAGTTTGTTAGTGGTTACCAGGGGCAGGCGGGCAGGAGGGAGGAGAGAAGAAAAACTCAGTGCTTAGGAGACACTGAGCTTCTGTTAAGGGTGATAGAAAAATTAGGGAACGGATACGGGTGATGGTTGAACAACGTAATCAATGTCACTGAAGTGTACCTGCAAAGATTGTTGAAATGGCAAATGTTTTGTTATATATATATATATCTCTATATATATATTTGCAACAATAAAAAGTGAAAAATTATTGAGGACCCCTAAAGAGCTTTTGTATATGTGGTTTATATCTATCACCTTTGCAGAATTATAAATTAAGACTGAGAAATTGTAAACAAACAGCACTGAAGTAGTTTTGGTCTTTAACTAAGAGTGCATAATACATCATGGGTTAAAGAGCTTGTGCTCTGGAGCTGGAGCCCTAGTGGCACAGTGGTTAAAGTGCTTGGCTACTAACTGAAAAGTTGGTGATTCAAATCCACAAGCTGCTCTGTGGGAGAAAGATGTGGCAGGCTGCTTCCTTAAAGATTAGCCACTGCCATCGAGTTGATTCCAACTCATAGCAACCCCATAGGGTTTCCAAGGCTGTAAATCTCTATGGAAGCACACTGCCACATCTTTGTCCTGAGGAGCCACTGGTGGTTTCGAACCGCTGACCTTTCCGTTAGCAGTTGATTGCTTTAACCACTGTGCCACTAGGGCTCCTTCCTTAAAGATTACAACCTTGGAAACCCTATGGGGCAGTTCTGCTCTGTCCTATACGGTCACTATGAGTCGAAATCAACTTGACAGCGGAGGGTTTTTGTTTGTTTGTTTGTTTGCTCTGGAGCTAGATGTCTGGGTCAAATCCTTGCTTTACCACTGACTAGCTGGGTGATCTTGGCCAAATTACTAAACTTCTCTGTACCTCAGTTTCTCCACCTGTAAACCAGAGATGATGATAATGATGACAGCAATGATGATGAAAATAACTGTCTCGGGTTACTGGGAGGATTAAGTAAACTGGGTCCTTTACCTCCCTTAGAATAGTACCTGGCACATGGTAATCATTTATTCTACAAAAATATCGAGGGCTTGCCATGTACCAGGTACTGGGGATCCATCAAGGATGTTTTTGTTGAGCTTACATTCTAGTGGGAGAAAGACAATCAATGAACGAATATATAATGTCAGGTGGTTAAAAGTGTTAGGAAAAAGAAAAAAACAGGTAAAGGGAGAGAGACGTAGGAGGTGAGGGGTATGCTATTTACATCGAGTGGTCTGGGAAGCCACCTCTGGTAAAGTGACATTTGAGAAGACCCCTGAAAGAAGGAAGGCGTCGGAGGGAGTCATTCGGATGTCTGGAGAAAGAGGGAACTTCTAGTGCAAAGTCCCTGAGGCAGAGTGTATGAAGAAAGTGTTGTGACTGGATACAGCGACTGAAGGGATGAATAGTTGGGAATGGATAGGCCTTGTAGACCAATGTGAGGTTGGCTTTTATTCTGAGGGAGATGGGAAGACATTGGAAGGTTCTGAGCAAAGGAGTGACATAGTTTGCCTTCTGTTGTAGATGCATCCCTCTGGCTTCTGTGTGGAGTGGCCTTTGTGGGGAGGGTGGTTTGAGGCAGGGAGGGTACAAGCGGGACTTAGGAGGCAAGATATGATGGCGGCTTAGACACAGTGAAGTGGTGAAGATGTGAGAAGCTGCGGGCCCTTGATAAATGCAAGCTATTTTCATCACGTAGCTTTGAGGGTTCATATCGACTTTTGAAGCGCAGTTTCCTCACCTGCAAAATTAAGGGGTTGGGCTCATTCATCACTCCCTTTTAGTTCTTAATTCTTTTGGTTCCTGAAAAGCTGAATTGCAGTGGGTTAGGTAGTAGGTGCTGCAGAATGAAAATAATCTGGGATTGAACCTCTTGATAAGTAGTATTGCAGGGTGAAGAATAGCATTTTGATTTGTTTTGTGAGTAGAGTTTAAGATATTTGGCTGGCTTCAGATGAGTTTCTTACGTTTCAGGGGTGTAGAGAATGGGAATGGATTGAACCTGCCCAGAATACTTTAACCTAGAAAATCGCTTTTTATTCCAAAAATGCTCGATTTCTCATCAATCGTTCTTTAGAATGGTTAATTTTGAATTTGGAGAGCAGAGAGAAAACCTAAATGAATTTAGAGAAAACCTAAAAACTGAACAGAGTCAAACTACCTCTTATAGGGAAAAAGCCATTAGCAAATTAATGAATTGTAGAGCTTTAAATTAAAAAAAATTTTTTTTTTTTTAGTTGTACAATGAAGGGAAGGCAAATTTTGCTCTGTGCCTTGATCACAGGCATTGATGTCTAAAAAACATTAACCAAGATTCTGACTGTTTCATGAACTGCAGCACTTGTAATTTCAAGATAAACTGCATTACTACTGGAAACTACTAAAAGAAGAGGGGAGAGCAGTCAGACCAACGGGTAGCACTGAAAAAGAAGTATAAGCAGATTTCTAAAGAAGGACTTTGAGAGTTGAGAACGGTAGATCTTGTCCTTTTTCCCATCCCGTTCTACATGTTTCATTCAAACATCTGCGTGCAGAATTTCTACTACTGAGAGGAGGGTAAAGCATTGAAGTTATTTCAACCACCATTTTTTGAGCGTCGCTATGTGCTATAGGGAAACCCTGGTGGCATAGTGGTTAAGAGGTACTACTGCTAATCCAAAGGTCAGCAGTTGGAATCCACCAGGCACTCCTTGGAAACTCTATGGGGCAGTTCTACTCTGTCCTATAGGGTCACTATCAGTTGGAATCAACAGCAATGGGTGTGCGTGGTGTATGTGTTGTAGGCTCGCTGTGAGTTAGAATTGACTCCACAGCAACAGGTTTGGTTTTTGTTTTGTTTTTATTGTACTTTCGATGAAGGTTTACAGAATAAACTAGCTTCTCATTAAACAGTTAGTACACATACTGTTTTATGACATTGGTTAAAAACCCCACGACATGTCAACACTCTCCCTTTTTGACCTTGCGTTCCC